TTCAAGCCCTTCTCATGTAAACAGAATATGTTTTGATGAATTTCATTAATGACATCTAATCTGCATGATTTCATAGTTTTAATGCTTAAAAGAGCAGACCAGCTGTCCGATGCAATTATTGCATTATTCACATGATTTTCCTGTATCCAGTTTAAAGCTAGTAGTACTCCCACAAGTTCAACTGTATATACTGATAATTTATCTGTTGTTCTTTTTATTATAGCTATCTCATGTTGAGGAATATATACTGCTGTTCCTGTGCGTCCTGTCTCTGGGTCTTTTGAGCCGTCAGAGAATACCATTAACTTACCCATATATTGCTGTTTAATATAATTTTGTGCTAATAAACCTTTAGGTATCTGGATAGAATTATCCCTTATTTGTTGTTGAATATTAAAATCTATTATTGGCATCACAAATAACCATGGGGGGATATCTGAATAGCAAACTGTTGAGCTGTATTTCAGATTACACAACCCTTCATTCTCTGCTTTAATATCTCCTTTCCATCCAAAGCTCCTTATATTATATTTACTGTGTTCCCAACACTCATGTAAAACGTTTTTTGTAGGATGAAAACTATTATGTCCTTCTAAATTAATCCAATAGGTTAACATAAGTTTAAGTCTCCTTATGCATAAAGGCATCTCTCCTGTTTCTACTTGTATTGCCGCTAATGGGGATGTTTTAAAAGCTCCACTACATATTCTTAATGCTTGTGCCTGTTCCACATCCAGCTTCTTAAGGTGACTGCAGCAGACATATAAGCTATACATCCAGAATCAAACGAGGCTCTCATAATAGCCTGATATATATTTAACATTGATGTTCTAGTTGCACCCCAGTCTTTTCCTGCTAAGCATCTCAAAAGGTTGTTAATTTTCTTGTTTTTTCCCCTTATTTTCTCAATATGTTGTTTCCATGTTAGTTTTTCATCTAGAAGCATTCCAAGAAACCTAACAACTTTGACCTGCTCAAGTGTTTGGCCATACAATTTAAGTGATATTTCCTTGTGTCTTCTAGAAAAACAAATAACTTGTGTTTTAGTTATTGATAATTTAAAAGCCCATTTATTTGCCCACTGCTCTACCGTAGTAATTGCATTTAGCATTTTCCTCTCTATGAATCTCAAATTCCGTCCCCTGATCCACAGGCCATCATCAGCATATAGAGATTTACCTATGCCTGTATCAATTTCCTCAAATATATCATTTATCATGACATTAAAAAGCACAGGGCTGCAAACACTGCCCTGTGGGATTCCGTTTTCCACATGCTAAACTTCTGAATGTTCAGTACCTACCCTCACTTTTATAGTCCTGTCAAAAAGAAAATCCACCACCCAGTTGTATAGCCTGCCTCCCACACCTAATTTGCCTAACTTAATAAGCAGCCCTTCTTTCCATAACATGTCATAAGCTTTTTTATATAAAAAAATACTGCTACCACTATTTGTTTGTTTATTTGTGCTTTCCTAATTTCTGATTCCAAGATTAATACCGGATCCATAGTATTTCTCCCTTTACGAAGTCCATTTTGATAAGGACACAAATAGTTTCGTTTTTCTAAATAATATGTTATTCTTTCTGTTACCATTCGTTCAATTTAATGGCGGTTGACAAGCCAATTTATGGTGTATTACCGCCACCAACTGGACTGGAGTGTGAAGCATTAACGGGAAAGAGGGAGAAAAAAGAAAAGAAAAAAAAACCCCGGTAGTATTAATATGAAATTTAAATTCTACTTTATAATCCTGTTATCTTCAGATAACTAAGAATTTCTCTCATAATACTTGTCTGTCCTGAGGCACAACTCAGCTAGAAACACTGCATAGTGTAGTGACGTATCCGTTGTCAAAATAAAGGTCCTAACAAATACCACTCAATGTAGTTGTATTTAGCGAGAAACAAATAATAGTGTGCAGTAACAGTGAATAATAATAATAATAATAATAATTCTAATAAAAAAATATTATTAGAATCTTTAATTAGGTTTTGTTTAGATGAAAGTGATTGTGGTGGCGGAAATGCACCTTAAGCTGGTTTGCCAACCGCCATTAAACGCAAAAGAAGAAGAAGAAGAAGAAAGTGATTGTTGGTGACTTCATTCTACCGGAAGTACACGACAGTCATGTTTTGTAAATAAACTGTTCGACTTTTATATTTATTTGCAGTCTTATGGTATTCGGTCTAGAAATGGTACGATTGTAATTTGTACATATTTATTTAGGTGCTCGATGAATCTGGTAAAGCATTAATTTAGGAATTATTTGTGGATATAAACTTAAACTAGTCACACCACTCCATTGGTAAGTAATCGTTAAATTAATCATTTATTTTAGCTGTTTGCAATATAGTGTCCTTTGCCTTTATTTTCACAACTGGAGATCGACAGTCTCATTATTACGTTGGGTTCGTATCAGTGTTTTGTGTTATTTGACCTTATATTAAATAATTCGAAAGTAACGCACACGACGGTTTCTTTTATTTGGGGTTTTTTGTGTCCTTTCTTTGACCTTATCTGAAATTATTTGAAAGAACTGTTCTTTTGGAATTGTTTATTAATCTATTGATTTTCTCTCATTGTTCTTTATCAGGTAGCACCATTTAACCTCCATAATGTGGGATGTTGAGATCAGGGGCATGGCATCGGCTCATGCCATTGTTGCTTCCTCCATCTTCATGGCAACTGTGATGCCTGCTGTGTTTGTGGAAAACTTCTCTGTTTATGGGACCCACATGGTTTGGCTGCATTGTGTGGCTGGATCTGTTGCTGTGGTCAACATTGCAGTCTTTTGGCTTCTTGGCATCAGCCCACAAACAAAGAAGAACACACTGAGCTACAAGGTAGAGATGGGCAAAATGTGCTGCAATTATACGGAAACATAATTGATGACTTTCATAATTAGTTGAGTTTCCTTTATTTCTTTGACAGCTCAACAGATTGTTCAGATCCTGTCTGTACTTTTTACTGTCATGCCTCTTTTTTCATACTGTGGTGGTACTATACGGTGCACCTTTACTTGAGTAAGTACACGGTTGCTTATTTGTTTGTTGAATGTAAAATACCAGTGTATAAGTCATACATCACATTGTAGGTCTGCTCTGGAGACATTTTCTCTGGCTGTGCTCCTGTCCACACTCACAACATTGAGATGTCTCTGTATCCTGGGTCCTAATGTACAGGCATGGATCCGGGTTTTCAGCAGAGATGGGTAAGTGCAGGATAAACTCTCTACATGAAGCACTGGAATTATTGCTTGCTCCTTGGAATAGCTTTGGTGAGCAGTTTGTGTGTGATTGTTTCAGATACAGTCCTCAGTGGCTGGGATCCACTAGATGGAGACCTTGTCCAACTTTGACGAATGGGTGCAACAGTTGTCATAGAGTTTCACAGACAGTGGATTGTATGACGAACACCTTATATCTAGAATAAATGAAGCAAAATCCATTTAAAATGGCAGTTGCAATGCTCAAATGTGAGTAACTAGATTTAAGTGTGGCTTAATGCTCTCTCAGATTAAATCTTGTTTTTTTTCTTCGCCGTAGGGTGGGGCATGAGCTGCGTCTTGTTTACTGATTGTATATATCAGCATTTAATTTTTAAAAAGCTTCTCTGTATGTATTATTTTAGCTTCATTTAAATGTTTCAGGCTAACTGAAGTGTTTTGAAACAAGACCACAGAATGTCTGGACTATAATTTAGTGATGTTCCAGAGGTATGATAGCCAGAGCTACTGTGTGTTTATAGAGCTGCAGTATCTCTGCTTAAAGGGTTAGTTCACCCAAAAATGAAAATTAGACTGTGTTTCGTAGCATGTCGGCGTTGTGTGATTAGTGACGAATGCGGAGAGAGAACAAAACAAAACGCCGGTCACGAATTAGAAGTACAAACCTAGGATTTGCAAAGAAAAATGTCGGAAGATTTCGATATAAACCAAAAGGAGACTGGTTTTCCTTTGCTAAAGTAAGGAAACTTTGCTTGCTTTGCTCCTATAAACAAACTCGCGAGACTATCATATCTCAGAGGTGCGCGAGCTGTGTCATCCGCCGGAACTGCTTCAGTGTATGACAGTCAGCGGAAGTGAGAGAAAAGTGTTTATTACGTTTGAAATATGGATATTTTTCTTACAAAAACACATGGATTCGCTACAGGGGGCCTTTATTCATCCCCCGGAGCCATCTGCGGCACATTTTATTATGAATGCGCGAGCTTTATTTGACGGCTTGTGGACTGTTCAACTGCAACACCCGCTGACTGCAATGATAGAGCTTGGCATAGCCAGGACAATTTTTAATATAACTCAGACTGGGTTCGTCTGAAAGAAGAAAGTCATATACACCTAGGATGCTTCGAGGGTAAGTAAAACACAAGCTCATTTTCATTTTTGGGTGAACTAACCCTTTAAGCACTGCAGGAAATTTGTCTCTTTGATACGCAGTTGTGCATGGTCTGTTTTCATCGAACATTCATAGTCCTCTTGTATCTTACATCATTGCACTGTATACATCCTCATATTTAATAACCTACATACAGCATTTTTTAATAATAATTATATATACTGTATATATGTATATGTGCGTGTGTGTATATATATACAGTATATGTATGTATGTTTATATACTCTACTGTTCAAACGTTTGGGATTGGTAAGATTTTAATGTTTTTAAAAGAAGTCTTTTATGCTCCTCAAAGCTGCATTTATTTGATCAAAAATACAAATAAATAAAAGCGGTAATATTTTATTATAAATATTATTACAATTTAAAATAACTGTTTTCTATTTGAATATATTTTAAAATGTAATTTATTTCTGTAATGGAAAAGCTGAATTCTCAGCATGATTACTCCTGTCTTCAGTGTCACATGATTCTTCAGAAATTATTCTAACATGCTGATTTGGTGCTCAGAAACATTTCTTATTATTATCGGTGTTAAAAACAGTTGTGCCGCTTAATATTTTTGTGGAAACCATGATACTTTTTTCAAGATACTTTGATGAATAGAAAATTTAAAAGAATAGCATTTATTTATTTATTTGTAATAATACATTCTTTACTGTCACTTTTGGTCAATTTAATGCATCCTCGCTGAATAAAAGTATATTCTTAAAAAAAAAATCTTACTGACCTCAAACTTTTGAACGGTAGTGTATGTTTATATGAAAACGGCTTCTTTTGGTATGGTTCCTTGAGTGATGTCTATTTTATTCAGGTTAATTTGTTATTAGCAATATTATGATGTTAAGCATGTGCCATTTCCAGGGCGATGTCAGTGTGGGACACCTCTCTTCAGATTACCACTGGCTGTAGTGTGATTGGGGCCTGGCTGGGAGCTCTCCCTATTCCTCTCGACTGGGACAGACCCTGGCAGGTTAGTGTGATGAGACTAATGCAGTATTGCAATGCCAACTGGTCTCAGAAATTCCAGTGATTTGAAAAGGAATGTCAATTAATGCAGATGCTTCTGGGTTATTGAGAAGTGGCGCTCAACTGGGTGATGCAGGTTTGAGTCACATCCCAGTGATTTCCTGAAAACTCTCCATTATATCTGTTTGATAAACCAAAAGCCCCTCAAAACTTTGTTGCTTAATGAGAGCATTGTTAAGTTACATACATTTGCTCAGTGTAGAGAGCAGATTTCTGCTGTGGCAGCAGATTTTCAGAAGAGGGTTCCTTGTTTCAAAGCTCTTGCTCGCATGCTGCAGCAAACCTCAGAAAGGAGGAAGATGCCAGAGAAATGTTTTTGCTCTGTATACACTACTGTTCAAAAATTAGGGGTCAGTAATTTTTTTTTGTTGAAATGAATGCTTTTATTCAGCAAGGATGTGTTAAATTGATAGTTCTTTTTAACTTATTAATCAAATAATCCTGAAAAAAAGTATCACAGGTTCCAAAAAAATATTAAGCAGCACAACTGTTTCCAACATTGATAATAAATCAGCATATAAAAAAAAAGAAAAAAATTACTGACCCCAGACTTTTGAATAGTAGTGTATATTTTAACACAAAATTTCTATTTTGAATAATCACTGTTCTTTTTAACTTTTTATAAATCAGCATATTGGAATGATTCCTGAAGGATCATGTGACACTGAAGACTGGAGTAATGATGATGAAAATTAAGCTTTGCATCACAGAAATAAATTATATTTTAAATAGTGCTGTCAAACGATTAATTTAAAACGATTAGTCAAGCGATTAATCGCATCCAAAATAAGTTTTTGTTTACATAATATATGTGTGTACTACTGTGTTTATTTATTATGTATATGTAAATACACACACATAAAGTATAGGTAATGTATATCGAAATATCGGAAATGTGTTTAAAAATCATATCACCGTTATTGAAAAAAATTATATCGCGATACATATTGATATTGCATTATTGTCCAGCCCTATGTAAACAAAAACTTTTATTTTGGATGCGATTAATCGCGATTAATCGTTTGACAGCACTAATTTTAAAGTATATTAAATGGTAATAATATTTTACAATATTACTATTTTTTTCTGTTTTTTTGTCTTTTTGGTCAAATAAATGCAGCCATGATGAACAAATGAGATTTCTTTAAAAAAACATTACAAATCTTTCTGATCCCAAACTTTTGAACAGCAGTGTAAATATTTTGGTTTTGTTTCACTTTTAGTTTTTTGTTTATGCTTTCTGTTTATAACATTTTCTATATATTTATTTGTAGCTTCTTAAAGGGATAGTTTAACAAAAAATAAAATTAATTCACTCATTGTCATTGAAAAACCTGACTTTTCTCCTGCAGAAAACAAATTGAGATATTTTGATGTCCATAAAATAAAAGCCAATGTGGTCCAATGTTGCTTTGGACCCCCCTGATTGTCATTGTATGGGTAAAAAAAACTAAAATAACATATTTGTACATCTTTAAGTATCTTTTTACTTCTTTTATATCACAAGATTTAAGCTTTTTAAAATGTTTTTGGAAAAGTTCTCTTATTCTCACTAAGGCTGCATTTATTTGATCAAAAATACAGTAAAAACAGTAATGTTGTGAAATATATTCTATTGTAATATATTTTGAAATATAATTTATTTCTGTGTTGACAAAGCTGAATTTTCAGCAGCCATTACTCCAGTCTTCAGTGTCACATGATCCTTCAGAACAATTTTTTATATGCTGATTTGATGCTCAAGAAACATTTATTATTAGTATCAATGTTATAAACATATTTTGCTGCTTAATATTTTTGTGAAAATCGTGATATACTACCAAAAAATAGATTAATACTTTTATTCAGCAAGAACGCATTAAATTGATCAAAAGTAAACAGTAAAGACATTTTTAATTTTACAAAAGATTTCCATTTCAAATTAATGCTGTTCATTGAACGTTTTGTTCATCAGAATCCTGAAAACAAAGGTATCTTGGTTTCCACAAAAAAATTAAGCAGCAAAAATTGTTTTCAACATTGATAATAATAAAAATCATTATTAATAATTGAGCACCAATAATAACTGATAATATCCGAGCACCAAATCTAAGCATATTAGAATGATAACTCCAAGGATCATGTGACACTGAAGCCTGGAATAATAGCTGGAGGAAATTCAGCTTTGCCTTCACAGGAAAAAATATATTTTAAAATATATAAAAATATAAAACTGATGAGAATAAGAGACTTCTTTCCAAAACATAAAAAAACTAGGGTTCATTTTCAAATAGAAAACAAATTATGTGTAGTTAACACTACTGAGAACCCTTTTAGACAATATACACATCCTCTCAACCAGTAAATCGTGCAGGATAGCCATAGACAGATTTTGTTGGGAATGAACCAATCTTCATGAAAAATGTAATGTTCTCAAAGCATGGAAGGACTGCACTGGTACTTCAATTATTCATGTGTTGTACAGAGACATTGATCAGAGGCCAGTGTTTGCCCTCGTTTTGCCCTCAAAATGTCACACTGAAGTCTCCCATGTGTGCTTTCTGACACGCTCTCTACACACAGATGTCTAGACGAGAGCAGAGAGATGAGACAGACTCATTATGGGAGTGAGGAAGCTGTAGGGAGGAGAGTGAGGCTGCCGTACAGTGATTCCTCAACACATGATGATGGGAGTGTGAACTGATGGGAAACTCTGGGGTGGTTCAATCCAGATGCTTTTCTTTAGAGAAATGAAGAGTGGTGTGACTCATGACACTATTGTAATATTGCAGGCCATTTTATGGTCTTGAGATAATTGAATAATCAATTTTGCTGACATTTTTTTTTTCATTCTAAGACACAAATCTTCAGTCATTTAGAGATCAAGTATGAAGGGAGGAAATCTCATTTTCTGTATAAAAGAAGACAAGAGGATGGATAGCGCTTATTAAATATTTTGTTACTATATATACACACACATCATTCAAAAGTTTGGGGTCAGTCATTTTTTAAAGAAATTATTATTTTATTCAGAAAGGATGAATTGCATCAAATCTGACAACTACATTATATTTCAAATAAATGCTGTTATTTTGAACTTTCTGTACATTTCACAAAAA